GCCCTTCCAGAAAAAAATGGGCTCCTCCTATGTTACTGTCATAACATGTTATACTGCTCCGGTGTTGCACTTGTTTGATAGAGTGACTCGTCGTACAGCATGGTCTAATTGCAGTCAAAGCTGAAATCTACTGTACTTTAATGCTATGTTAAATTTGATAATTTTATTTTATTTGACCTCATACAGGAGATATAAAAAATAAGAAAGGTTAATATCCAATAATAATTAGTATTATTCCATGCACTTCAACAAAGTTAATGTATGGTATATGACTACAAAGGGGAAAACATTTAAAAATAGACCTACAGAAACTACTTTCATGAAAAACATTAAGGGCCCACGGCACATTTTGAGGTCAAAGCATTAAATTAACAATTTTCACCGAGCAGTTGGTAGAGTTGGTCGTCTCTCGACCAGAAGGTTCAGGGGTTCGATTCCCCAGCTCCTGCTGCCACATGTCCGATATGTGCTTGGGCAAGACAATTACCCCAAGTTGCTCCTGCTGCTTTGTTAGCGGCGTATGAATGTGTATGAATGGGATAAGTTACTTCTGATGGTCACTTTACAAAGCAGCCTCCGCCATCGGTGTATGAATGGGTAGGCAGGACCTACGATGTAAAAGCGCTTTGAGTAGTCAGAAGACCAGAAAAGCGCAATACAAGTTCAAGTCCATTTACCATTTCCTTTACTTGTTAAGCTTTGCAGCTAAAGCAGTCAGCAGGTCTAGCTGTGAAAAAACTGGTGGATCAGACAGACTGTACAGGTGTAAAAAGGGTTAACATTATCATTTATTTTGGCACCTAACTAACCCAACTAGGCTTTAGAGTTCTCAGATTGTTTCTGATCTACACAGGCTAAGGGGCTTAACGTTCTGGCAATCCCTTTTTTTTTTTTTTAGAGTTGCAATAATTTTGATTAAAAATGTCAGTTCTTGAAAATCATGTCCACCAACGTGTCCTCTTGTCATGTTAAGGAACAATAGATTTCCCAGGAATTTTCCCAGAAGGCAGTGGATGTAGAGTGAATTGCCTAAACTGTCACAGGTCTACAGAGACAAGACACTTGTGTAGTCATCTGAGACTTCCACGATCAACCACCATTCTTGTTTCAATGTAAACATCCATAGACGCTTTTGTTCCCATTGTACGTTTACAAGGTCTGTTATTCCTCACATTTCTGTGAGTCACATTCATGAACACATGAGCGTGTTATGTGCATTGTTACAAAGTGTGAAGAACGTGGAGCTTAGTCATTACCCAAACATTACACCCGTGAGTTAAACACACATGTAGAATAAATTGAGTTTCTCTGTGTTGACAATAAGTGAAGTTTTACAAACCATCCAGAATTTCTCTGGTAACAACAACAACAAAGATAAAAATAGTTTATGTATGTTTAGTTACAGCACTTTTGCAAAAATGGCAGTCTGAAAAGGGCTATTAAGATAACATTAGCGTCATTATCTCTGGTTTTAAAGTCTGACAGCAGCTCAGTGAGTTACTTTGGTTGATGTTTTTTAATGCTTATAATGTCATTAAAGTAAATCCAGATTTAGGCGGGATAACACTGTTGGGAAAAATGGGTCTTAGATTACACTAGCAAAGCAATACAGTACATTAAACATGCTAGATATAAAGTTCTGATATGTCAGGCCCCTTTTTGTATAAGTGTATAAATGTTTTTGTAATGACCAAAGATTACCACTGGAATAAATCATTATGCAGGCTGTACATTACGTTTTCTTGCATAACGTCTCTGATATTTTACCTACAAGATGGGACTGTTATTGTTGTCGTGACTGAATGGCACGTCCAATCTAAATTCTGCTACATAATCCTATGCAAAATGGCTTTCTGTGTTATAAGTTTGGCCTTCAAAAAGATTAAACCTATAATTGTTGATTAGTGAGATGCAGGGTTCTTGGTAGCATTGGGCAGAGCCAGGCTAGTAGTGAATTGCTCAACTATGCTAACAGGTTGCCAGCTCCACCTTTGGACGAAGGGGCCATATGGCTCTGGTCATCTAACACTGTAAAAAAAAGCGAAGAAGCAAGCATGGACTATACCTTAACATTAGGCTATTAGAATGTACTAATATGGACCTTTTTCTTATTCATATGAAGGAAAAACTATACAATAGGGATGACATCATCTATTTCTTACCTCAAACTTTCCGTTGGCATTTCTCTTCAATGATATCAGGGCCCTAGAACCAATGCATCCAGTTAGTCTCACAGTCCAGGCTTTTGGTCTTGTTGGCAAAGTTCTGATTACTGGACAACTCAATATCAGGGAAAGTGCATCCTCCTAGCTTGCATTCTTTAATGAGCAACCTACGCCTGTACTGTAAACTGACGACATAATCCTGTAAGATTTAGTTTGTCCTTACATACTCAACTCTAGTTTTAATCGCAGGGTTTGTGTTTCGGGCTAACGTAAATGCCCCGCAGCAAACACAAACTGTATCCACTGTATCCACTCAATGTTAATAAAGAATGTTTTTGTTTGTGATCATGGGTCTTGACCCAAATCTGCCACCGAACTGTACCTAGTTAGCATCATTAACTCCCAAGGGCGACCACATTTGAGTGCTTTAGGGTCCAAGTTTTTTTTTTAAATGACCCCTCAGTTACACCGATGGCATTGCTTGCAGACAAATGCTTATTTAGACAACAAAGAGGAGATTAAAACTGGCATTTGACACCGGATACCTCTAAAGTAATCTACCAGGTACCTTTTTCAGGCTGTATCCTCACCTTGTATTGTAGTGCCGTTCTTCAGGGACCAGAGTTACTCAGGAGGCCCTCTCGTGTCATGATGCTTGACAAAGGACTTTGGATTTCTCTCAGGAAAGGTGTGTCTTTGATTCGCTGACTGTACAAAACAGGCACAGAAATGTTCTATTTACAGTGTTCAGCCTGAGGCCATAACAAAAACTCATCCATTACAAAACATACACCCTGAAGAACAATACTCTTATCACATGAAAAGATCTCAGAGGAGAACACTTGTGATCAGATCCCTGATCCTGCTCTTTCATCTGCCTATGAAAAATAAAACTCTGTTTGCGTGTATACGTCATGGTTTCCTATGCGACGCGACGCCCATACTCAAGATGGCAAGCAAGTGTTTTTCCATTTCACAACATCATTAGCAGCAAATAAACTTTAATGATCCTGTATATGAAGTTATGCAAATACATATATTTTGTTGCTAATGTAAGTTCAGAGCTGAGTCAGAAACCCTTCACAGACATGTCACAAGCATCTATTGATTGCACAATTTTGCCTAGAAAACTATGTCCCCAAAACATAGCACAGGCGTTTATTTCAAATGAACTGACTTATAAGGGAGCTATGTATCACTTGAAGTAAAGCACCCAGTTTTAGTTTCCTGTATCTGGCTTTAAATAACTTCTTCTTCTTTCTTGTCTGACCTCATTGAGGATGGGGATGATAGCTGCGATAGCTGTTTCATAACATGTTATAAAACAGCCCAGCTTTGGACACATGGCATGAACATGTATTATGTCAAACTAACTATCATTGAAAACACTCATTAAATACTCCTTTAGTGACACATTTAAAACATTTGAAAGATATTTATGAACTTACATTCAGTTCCAGAAAGTTGCGTCATTGATTTCATGTATAGAACTGAGTTGGGGAAGAAAGGTTTTCGGTTTTCTGCACCTTTTGGAACAACCTGCAGTCTGATTTTAAACTGCAAAACGTAGTTACCCTGAATGTTTTTAAGTCTGTAGTGAAAAGTCTTGAATCCAAACTTTCTGTATGCAACTGTTTAGCTGATGATTTTTCTTATTTTGAAATGTGTAAATGAGTTTGAGTGTTTTTGTTGTTGAAACAGTGTGTTGCTGCTACTCTTAGCCAGGTTTCGCTTGAAAAAGATCTCTGATCAGGGACTAACATGGATAAATAAAGAGTAAATGCAATAAAATAAAAGTTAAGTTTCCACTTAAAACAACAAGCAATGCAAAGTGCAGATTCATTCTATAGAAATTTCCTGAAGAAAAATCCCACTTACTGTAGCATTTGAGTATATAGACACAAATCTGCATCATGATCACAAATGGTTCTATTTCATTATATTGTCTTGTAATAGAAAGCCAGTTGTGATGTCAAAGAAACTTCAAAAACTGATGCTTACAATCGTCTGAAGTTGAACTGAGGTCGACACCTGCGTGAAAAACACGCTTATTTGAGATGAATTGTTATTTCAAATTTGCATGTACGTAGGATTTTCAGAAAAATAGAAGATGTAAGAGGCCTAGCTCATGTTACACTATTGTCTGAAACTTTCCCTCACACGCCTCGTGTGGAGTCGACAGTATAAAAGGGGAGATCTGGTGGCTAATAGCAGGACACTGTATGAAGACTTCCAGGTGAGTCCCTCAAATCAACATATCACTTCTTTGTCATTCTTATAGTTTGTTTAATAAATAAGACTATATGGATTTTTACCGAGATTCTCTTTCAATATCAATAATTGATATACAATTGTGGCATTAGACATAACAGTATGTAAGATTGTCTACTCTGTATAGCATACTGTATGTTGCTGTTTTGTACTTGAACTGATTCTGTTTTAGATCACACTTACCATGAGAAACAATCTGAATCTCTATGTCTAGTTTTCTTGATAATCCAGTTTCAGGAAATGTTGGCCATAAGTACAACTTTTATTTTACTTGATTTTGGCAAATGTTTTTTACTTGTTAAAACATTTTTAGAGCTTAGTCATTTCAAGTTATGATAAGTAACTTGTGAAATTGGCAGTTCATTTTCATTTTCAAGAATCTCTCTCCCTTTTCTTTAAAGTGTGCCACTTGTGTGCTTACTCTAAAGGACAGTTGATCTGTCGTCCTCAACATGGATATCTGTACATTTTTCAATATTTTCTTTCTTGCATCTTGAAAGAAGGATCTAAATGCTATGGTTTTCCTTGATATGCTGCCTTTTTCTCAGATCCACACTGAGAACAATGAGACTGATCATCCTTCTGTGCCTGCTCGGCCTCTTGTCAAAGACGGAGGCCCAGCTACCCGTGGATTGTATTACTAGCAATACAAACAGAGCTCCAGGTTCGTGGCATTTCATCAAAATATTCTTAACTGACTGTAAAGTTCACGCTTCCATTTTTTGATCTTCTGTATCCTCCCTTTTGATGTCTTCCAGAAAACTCTGACATCAAGGTTACCTGTGGCACTGAGTTCATGGACCTGGCCATCTACATTTGCCCCATTTACCAAGCTCTTTACAATGAGTCTCTGATGGCCCTCAATAGTCAGCATGACACACCTGAATGTCATGGCACTGCTGACTGGAGCGTTGACCCACCAGTCTTACGATTCAAATTCCCTTTAAACACAAGTGCTGTCTCGGCATGCGGCAATAACTTCATGGTATTCTTCACAAATACCTTTTGTATTTTTTTTGCAAACAAAGTAGATGTCAGTGATTTCATTGGAGCGTACTTGGACTTTTTTCCCTACAGGTTACCACTCAAACAGGGACTGGAGAGTTCGCAGACTTCTCAAATGTCCAGGTTGCTAATATTTCTGGAACGGTTACCTCTACAGACCCCGTTGAGGGCCCGATCACCTATCGTGAGCAGATCCTGTACATGTTCTCCTGCATTTACCCCATGCAGTATCTCCTGAACAACACTGAACTGGCTGTGTAAGTATGGTTTTGGATTCTTAGATTAACACATATCTGGGTTATTTTGTCTTTATATAAATGTGTTCTTCTTCGATACAGATCTGGAGTGAGTCTTGCCATAAATGAGAACAATGGCAGCTTCGTCAGCACACTGAATATGGAGCTGTATGAGGTAAGCCCTACTCTTTATTTTAGAATTAGACAGAGATGTAACAACATTTTAGAGCTTCATTCTGGTCTTACTTTTTTTTTTTTTTAAACAGAATGAGCAGCACACAGACATAATGACCTTCCCACAATCTGGGATAAAGCTGAAGACCAAAATTTATGTTGCAGTTACAGCTACTAATCTCACAGATAGGTAATTAAGTTTGGACAGTTTGCATTAAAAAAATCAAATCAATTCAAATAAATCTTAAAACCATCTGTCTCTTTTGAAAGGTTCAATGTGTTGCTGGATAGATGCTACGCAACAACAACACCAATTCCCAATTTTGTCACATTCTATGACCTCTTTGTAGGGTGAGTTATGTATATGGACCACAAATAATGATACCTACCAACTTGATACTTAGCATTTAGCCTAGTCTTTGTAATTTACCATGTGGAGTCACACTACCTGTCTTTTTCTCCTCCCTAGGTGTGACCGTGATGAACAAACTCAGGTGACGCTCAATGGGGTGTCGCAGACTGCATACTTCTCCTTTGAGGCTTTTAGATTTGTTGAGCACAAAAATCAAACAGTTTCCACTTTCTACCTGCACTGTGTCACCAGACTCTGTGAGGTGTCCAGCTGTAGCGCATTATTGCCAGTGAGTAACAACTTTCTCACATAGTTTTGAGATTAAACAATCGTGCTTAATGTGGAGAAATCATTTTGATTGTCTTTTTCCATTTCTTTGAACAGGTCTGTACAAATACTGGAAAAAGGAGAAAAAGAGAGGCTGAGGATGTGTTAGGCAATGCTACAGTCACCTCACACGTCATTGTTGTTGGCAGGAATACCAATGGTGCGTCTTTAATGCATACACACAAAAACCATAGAAAACCTTACATCCTAACACAATGACGTTGTGCATGTTGGAAGAAGACACTAATTCTGCAGTAAATGCAATTACTTTAAAATGTGCAGTATAATTTTTCAGTCATCCAGGTCATGGTAATCAGGGGCGTGTCCAGAGGGGTGGCCAGGGGTACTATGGGCCCCCCTTGAAATCTTATTGGCCCCCCTAAAATCCTTAACTATGATTGGGCCTTACGGTGAAATCCAGGCTTTGTTGCAACAGGCAGCTCATAGTTTTCAGTGTGCAGATGTTTGCAACTTTTTTGAGTTAAAATACTCTAAATTGTGACTTTAGACATATTGTACATTTGTTTCGAGTCCTTGAAGAATTAAGATTGTAGATGGATATGTTGTCATTATCTTGTAAATCTTCAAAGTCGATGTGATTAGTGTAGACAGAAGGAGTAAATAAATGCTCTTCATTCAGCTGTTTGCACACAAACTTCAGGCCACCCTTGCACAAGTCAGTGCCACTATTGGGCCACCCCAGACCAAAAAGTCTGGACACGCACCTGATGGTAATTTTTTTTTTGACTCTATGAAGGCTTCAGTTCATGAGTTCATCCGAACTGACAAAGCTTTTCATTTTAGTGGTTCATTTCTCTTTCAGATAAGACTTTGACTAAAATGTGATAGTAGTTCTAATGGACACATTTTTCTAGCATAAATACTCCATATTAGCAACAAAATATGGCAGGTTTTTTGCTCTTTCTATCAAAGAGGTATCATAAACATAAACCCTAATTTGTTATTTTGACGTGAATGTATGGATTAAACAACAAACTAAAATGTCATTTTTTGAGCTTTAGAGGTGAAATGTATAACATGTGGCTGTCTGTTATCATCTTATGATACTATTTATGCTAAGCCCAATAGACTTCTATCAGCTTTATAATGTGCATACATGTGAGTGGTATTCATTGTTTTGTCATGCATTCAAGTTGAATTTATATTCTGTTTTTTGTATTCATTATTTCAAATTTTAGAAAAATCAATTAAAAGTTATTGACCAAGCATTTGTTTCTTTTTTTCAGGAGATGCCCAAACTTTCTCTGTTCCTTACGGTAAGAATTGTTCTTATATGTGACTCTTTAAATGTGCTCTTGTGGGCTGTGCAAAGGAGAAGTGAAAAGCTGCAGAAATGCCTTTAATTGACGACTATAAAGGTCTCTGACAGTAACAAGCAACATTAATGAATACCATCATTTTCTCATAAAGATTGCTTTGGGGTAAAATATCGTCATCCTTTTCCTCTTCCCTGATCATTACAGGTACATCAACTGAGAGCAACTACAGCAGCCCCGTGGTGGCTGTAATTGTCTGCATCGTCATCCTAACTATTCTCCTTGTTGCCATGGCTGCCTACTTTGCGTTTTACATCAAGAGAAAACCAATCATTCAGTAACATCTCATGACTAAATGTGAAGTCTCTTCACCCATCTTCAAGTGTAATTATTCATCATCTCCCAAAGGATGGCCATTATGTGTGCAAGGATAGTAAATGACGTCACCAGAAAACCATTCTAGATATATTGCAATACTACTATTTAGCTTTTCCATTTTCCATACATCATTATGTAGCCATCTGTTCTATAGGCTTACAATTGTATAACAAATATGATTGATATATTTTATAAATGTGGAGACGAGGGCACTTAAGCTGTAAAATATGTGTGCATGAAGTGTTATGTTGGTTGTTTGGTGAGTCATATTGCAGTATTTAATATATGGTGCAATCTCTTGTATTCACTTAGAAATTGTGTACGTTTAAAACATTTAATCGAGAATTATGAGAAGTACTTGTGTGCATTTTTCTTGAATAAAAATACCATCAAACCTTCACATTGAGCTTGCCCTGATAAGTCAAGTTGGGAATTTATGTAGATTGCCATATTCAAAGATTAAGGATGCTCCATTACTGAGGTTTGTTAGAACTACTGAGCAGTCAGTTCTATAGAACATCAGACGTCAAGGATACGAGAACTCTTGTCCATTCAGTAAGAAAACAGATGAAATGCACATTATTTAACTGCAGACAAATATATGATACTGTATAAACCAAACACAGGATATATAGCAGAATGGTACACTTGTGTTAATAAAGGTTTCCACTAATACCATGCAGGGGCTGTCTTTATTGTTTTATGTAACTGTATAAAATGTATTCGCAAAAGATATCACACTTGTGTGAGACCTTATAAACATTACTGTTGTGCTCATGAATCCAGAAAGAATTCATGAAAATGTCTTGACAAATTCATACTTAGACCACCTGCAGTATGGGATATTTAAACTTTTATTATACTGAATCAAACTTAACTGGGAGTATTAATTGAACTAATCAATTACCTGGTTTATAACGACAGAAACAATTGGCATGTACCCTGCGACCTTGCTGACAGGTTCTCAAAAAAGACGTTTTCTTTCATCCTAAGAATCATCCTTAGCATTTTTTGGGGGGGCTACAAACTGGTCTAGTGAGCTGGAGGTCACAGTTTGATGAGGCCAACAGAATCCCGTCATCTGCAAAGAGCAGAGATGCCATTCTGTAGTTCCCAAACCAGTTATATCCCAAACAGAATATTTGGCAAGGGCAACTGTAGCATTGGGAAATAAGCTTTTCCACAGTCAGGCTGTATCTGATGGTCATTAACTGTTCAAAGGGACCTTTACAGCAACCTGCTAGTAATTCAGGCTGAGTCATGTGATACCTGAAAAGCACTTCCACAGGTCCCTGATGTTTCAAATGAGAAGTTTCTTGATGACAATAGTTTGCCAGAACTAGCTTGAGGAAGTTCTTCACAATCACCTCCCTGAGTGCTCTTACGAGATCCCAGGGCCCAATTAATTAAAACCTTTTTATTCTTTGGCCTGATGGTTCCCTTGATGGCTGGTTTAAATGGCCACATGGATACTCATTACTAACCTGGCTAATACTCATGAGAGCTGTCTCCACAATGTCGTCTGTGAACATGGCAAACTCAGCTGTCTTCAACTGCTGACTTCCTGTTTCTTGTCAGAAAGGGTTGCAAGCCTTTATGCAAAGCAAATCCAACAGGCAGCTTAATGTAGCCTTGTATGATATGGATAGGTATTAAAGTAGAATACCATATACGTCTCAATTTATCATGATTTTTTTGAATTATTTATCTTAATGCTGACTGTCTTGTACGGTGCCCATGAAGTCCCAAAAAGTACCTTCCCAAGGTGTAAAAGTGACACACAAACCAATGTGTCTACCTGCACTGCATCACAAGACTCCGTGAGGTGTCCACCTGTTACACATTGATGCACTTAAGTCACAACAGTCACTTCACTATCTGCAGGTCTGTTGGACCACTAACCTTCTGAGGAAAAGTTTCACTATTACTACTGTTCACTTCAAACTGGTTGTAACTATTGCTGCATCTGTGGATAAGCAAGTGCATAAGAAATATCTTATCATTTTTATTGTTTTTTATATCATGTTTTAATGGCATCCTCTGTAGTAATTGTATACTTTTAAATACATGTTACAAGATGATATATATAAATGAAATATCAATGATGTCTGTCTATGAGTCATTAATGTGATACATTTTATAGTTTATTATGAAATGTATCCATGAATTGAAATCTATAGTGGATGAAAATGTTTGACTCAAATCCACATTTTAAACCTCATGGTGGCACTAGAGGTAAAGTCAGGAGATCCTTACAAACAGCAGGAGTCATCATCTTTGTTATCGATCTGATATCAAACAATCAGTCCAATGTTTACATACATGTTACAAATCATTGAAAATTTGACCTGAAAGTTCAAACCTGTGTGATACCCAGACAATCAGTAGGTTTACTTCAATCACAAACATTTATCATAATTTGCAGCAAGAGAAGGCGTCTAAAAGCAGTTTTTAAAATGTCTTTTATCTCCCCTGTTTTAAACAGCTAACTTCATCACTTTTCAATTATGCTGTAAAATGCAACTAATGAAGAATACTGTCAAGATAATGTTGATGTCGGTTAATATATGTCTGGTTCATTCAAACGTTTTACAAAAAGTATTTTTGAGTTTTCATCAAAGCACTAGATCTTTAGACCATTCATTTGTTTCGGTTGTTGTGCTTTTAGCTCTTATATACTGTCATACAGGAATACAGAAATATACTGTCCTTGCCTGATAACAGTTTAGTTTGCTTTTACTTATTTGAAAGTTTGGCAGAGTTCAGCATTCTCAATGGGAGAACGGCCTCCACCCATTCATTCGGGCTGGCCTTCATGCGATCCCAGAGTGCCACCTCGTATGAGGCCGAGTCCATCCAGTCCACTAGTGCTCCATAACTCCTGCCTAAAGGGCGACACACAGATATATACAAGGATTAAAAGCATACATGTATATTTAAAGAATACTTCCACAGGTTTCAACATACATCTCAAATACTGTTTATGCTACAATAAGATAAATGCATCCCAAAGTTAATTATCAAACATTTAACATTTTATCATGTGTGTTTCTGACCTGTTCCAGGTCCAAGTCTCAGGCCTCCCAGCAGGTTACTGGCAAGCCTGTCTCTGTCCCAGACAGTGAGCTCCACACAGGCTTCTGCAAGATCCGCCTCTCTGATGCCATCGTAGACCATCGTGTGGTTAAACACGGGGTTTACGGTCCTTCGCAACACACGTGTCTTCTGACGGCTCTTTCTGCTCGTGTCTGGCAGCACACAGCTTTAGGTGGGGGAGAGGAAAACATGTTGACAGGTTAAAAATAAATAGCTTGATGAATCCCTCTCTTTTACACCTCACATTCAGCAGCTGGTTAAAGGGTTAACATTCTAACTGGGTTTTTGTTTTTAAATCCTGCCTCTCTTCTCTAGGAAGAAACTGATTGCTGCCACTTTAATGTCTGAATGGGACTTCAGTATGATGATGTTTTATACACGCACACCTCGTCTCAAAGTTTATATTCCCACTGGACAGCGCTTTGAGGTTAGTCTATCATTTTAAAGCGATCACTCATCACTGTTTGTTGTATGCATGTATTGGATTGTCCCCTTCGTCCACACACAGACTTAAACACTGGCATATTCTTATCTACAAGTCTTTTTGAAGTCAGCTTCCTTCATACCTTCTGACCTACATCAATCACCAGCACAGGGACAAGAACCTTTTCTTACTGCCTGCTCCAAAAGTCAGAACTGAACAGGGTGAAAAAGCGTTTAAGTTTGCTGCTCTCTTTACTTGGAACGCCTTACAAAGATCTGAAACTTAACCAGCTGCTCTCATTGGATGTTTTTAAGAGACAGTAAAATGACTTGGAGGCAGACACATCTGGCTGTAGATTTTCTCCCTGATATATTTATGGTTTTTGGGCGATCTTGAGAAATATTTGCTGTTTAAATGTGTTGTTTTATGTATTTTATTTTTTATTATTATGTTTCTTTATTATATGTATGGCTGCGGGCTGTTTGTCAGATTGTGCTGCCCTCTGTCTGTCTGTTTTTAATCTCAACAAGTTTTTTTCCTGGTTAAATAACAAATAATTATATATCTCTAAGGATAATCTTGGTAAATATTCTTGTTCTTATTATTGCTAAGACTTGGATGGGAAGATACCAATGTCACATACAGTGTGTCCTCATGATAACGTCACAGCCAAGGTTAACTTAGCTCTGTATGGATACTGTAAACAGGGAAACACTAGTCTGAAGCTTTCATCCTATTTCCAGTGATTTTGTTGCTTTTAACCAGTTTCTTATCTGTGGTAAAGTATTGAGAGTAGTAGAAATCTTCTTATCAATCTCTGACAATAAAGAGTATTTCCCATGATGCTGTTTCTTTGACTAAATTAGATGTATTTTGTACATACCACTTCACATATGGGTCAATAGTGGTCCTGGTCAGAGGCAGGTTCTTGCATTCTTTCACCCAAATGTGAATCTCTCCGGTATTTTGACTCTCCTTCACAAATCCTATTGGGAAGAAACGGCAAAAAATCAAATTTTTGGGATTTCTTATAACTAAAATTTGAGAATTTGTTCTCCTCCAGAAGAGGCCGTCTTTGAAAAAGAAAACTGTTCAGACCTGCGCTGTGGATGATCTGTGGCAGGAAACGTATGGCCAGTTTCATCTCTCCCCAGCCATTTGATGGTGCTAAAGTGGGTGTAGTCTGCAATGTTTGACAAAGAACACATTACATAAACAGTGGATCCGACATCCAACATGACGCTTTGAAAAGTTGGACAATGACTACAGAGCTTGTGATAACACCCTCTGAAATACAGCAGGGAAATGAGCAGTTTGACCACATTCTAAGATAACCATGCTGCTATTTGATAAGAAAACAAACAATAAAGCAGAATGTGTGTGTTCTTCTTTTACCCTTCCTTTCAGAGGTAAGTAGTTCATGTGGGTGTGGTCAAAGTTCCACTTGGAGAGGTCCACGTCGACCTCTCCCAGGAAACTGTTCCTGCCAAAGGTGTCGTTGTGCCAGACAGAGAGAATAAGCGTTTGTGTTCTGAGGTACTCCATGCGAACTCGATACTGTGAGGACAAGAGAGAGCAAGCTGCTTTTGTTTGTTGACTGCCATGTTGCCAAGGATTTAAATGTTACACTTTGGGAAAGTGTCTGCAAAAAATGTCCGTTCAACTGGCATTGTAATATTCGCGGATTCTTACTCTGAGGATCTCGTTGAAAGTTGGATTTAGCGACTTCTTTTTTACAGATGTTTTCCTTTTTCCCAGATTAGCTTTGTCAGGAGCCAGGTAGCTTTTGACATACCTTCACAAGGCAAACAAACAGAATCACAATAATTCCATGTGAAAGTAATCACTGTTAAACGTGCTCTCTGAGTTACATGCTGACCACTGGTTAACAAATATTTCTCTCTACAAATTGACATCATTAGAAGTGTACACTTGTAGTGACCTTGATTAAGTAGTGGAGGAAAGAGAAAGACCATACTACATTAAACTATAAATACATTAACCTGGACATTGTTTCCCAGTTACAGTTAGGATTGCCACTTTAATGAATTGAAATCAGTAGAGAATAAATATAATAGAATCCTATTTATTTCAGATACATTACTCACGGATCTGATCGGCCCCTCTTTGGGTCGACTGCTGCCAAGTTGCTGCACTCAGCCACAAAGATGTGAAACTCTCGGATTTTTTGAACGTAGTTGATGGAGAACTGGATGTTTCCTTGAACCTCCACATTTCCAAAGTCAGCACTGCACATGGTCATCACACTTCCACTGAGCTACAAACACGGAACAAAGAAGTAGGCAAACATTTGAAATTGTGAAATGAAACTCAAATCATTACATGCACAGTAGTTTCTTTTATTGGAGTATTTGAGGCTGGTGCTTTTTTAATTGATGAAAATCTGTTTCATCTTGTGGAGACAGAGGTTAATGTTAAAGATAATTAGAATCAGTTTAAAGGGAACTCCACCAATTTTAGATATTAAAAAGACTCTTAATTGCTCTTAGGAGTACTAATACATGTGTGATAATATTATGAAGGGCCTTCTTAGAATCCAGCTATAGCTGCCCAGGATTTGCTACTATTAATAGAACACACCAAAATATCTGAATGTTGCCAGTCATAAGTTGCATTGTGGGTAATGCAGATGCCAGGTTTTGACAAAGACACTATTGCATGACCTTAAAAAGATATCACTTCTACTGCACTGGCTTTGTCCATTTTTGTCCATGCAGAAGAACCATGCTAATCGTTTGGATATTATTTAAGTGTTACAAATGTAAATCTGGTCTCTACCCTGAGTCGGATGTGGATTGAAGGCTACTGTTTGGACTCTTTAATATAGAAAATGTATGACATACTACTACAGTGGTAATGTGGGACAACATCAGTTGCTGGTGGATTGAAATGAAGCTAAAAAGCCAACAAGCAGTGCAGTGTTAGAGTGAAGCGTGTGCACGCAGGCATGCTGTTATGTGTGAACATACAGAAGACGACAGAGACGCCCTGCCAGACGAGCTGGTGAGGTTAGTGAAGGAGTTGCCGGACATTAGGCTTCCTCTGTGGATATGATTCTCATAGTTGAAATCAGTGTCAGCGCCAACGTCCTGAAACACAAACAGACTGCACAAAAAGCTCTGTGCAAAAGAATGCAGAGCGAGCTTTGACCTTATCGGCAAAGAAATACAGCGATGGTTTTACCTCCTTTTGTAAGAATGAAGGAACTGATTTGCTCATCTTCTTCAGGTGCTCTGGGTCTGAATAAATGGACGAGGAAGGTGACGGCATGGATGAAACTGAAGAGTGGTAGATTTGGAGGCAATTGATAAAAAAAATCTTGACTAATTTTGACACTACCCTTAAATATTTTATACTATATAAGACTCAAATATTTGTAATGAAAAGAAGCAGGTAAATGTTACCATCACTAATGCGTCTGTCAGATGGGTCTTGCCTTTTTTCTTGTCCTGTGAGAAACAGGGACCATAAAGCACAATCAACCACAGGATCTGTAGATACCGACAATCTGACTTGAAAGTCTTTAAACTCACTTGGTGACAGCGATCCTGTGATGTCCTCCATACTCTTAGCCAGATTTTTAGGCCGTGCTTCTGCTCGTCTCAAAGCTTTCCTTACCAGGTTAAGGTTTTCATCGTCATTTTCACCTACAGGTTGAATGGAAGAGAAAATGAATAACTTGGTTTCTTTGTTGACTTACAGTGCTGCTGCAAAATAAAGTATCTATTATATACATTTTGTATTCCTATTATGAATCATATTACCCACATTCTTATTTCAAAACTAAATCAAATGAAAATAGTATTTTATGTTCAAAAAACAATTTGCTGACACTCTTTTTTTTGTACACAGCTCATCAAGACGGGCGTAGCTGCAGCTATCGATTGTTTGGTTTGTTGCTCTGATACTTAAAGGTCCAGACGTCAAATCTATTGTGTCTAAATATTTAGCTTAATATGAAGTATTAAAAAAATTATGTGTGATTTAGAAGAGAGAGAAAGTATATTTTTTGGACTAAGCTGTGTGAAACAAGTTGATGATTGTGCTAATAGTGTAAAGTAAAAAGTGAAACGATGTGTATTCTGAATGTATGTTGTGTTTTATTAGAGATATTTCTTAGACTGGATGGCTTTAACAGTCACATACTTGAGTGAGTTGATTATTATGACAAATATTTTTTTCAGAAAAATGGTGGTATATATACAAATACAAAATGCTTTTTGTTAAATGTAAACAATAGAGGATGAAATATCCCACAAAGTGCACTAAGTCAGTGTTATAAACTCTGTAAAATGAGGCACACAAGCTGCAAAGGGGCGGCTCATGTTGTAGTTCAGTAAGACATTTTTCTTTTATCAGTGTGCTGACAGTTTAGAAAGTGTGTCACCCATCCCACAAATTAAATACCGTCAGCTGACTTCATATAATAAAAGTGTTTACAGAGATTTGCTTCTGCAAACACAGATAGTCTGACACGGACGTGATATCAAGGATACAACTGGAAACAACCCACAATGATGAAGATCATCTGAACGAGTTCAACTACTTCTATTACATAACTTCTGTTACCTTTCTCTGGAACAGGTCTTTAGTTAGATAATACATTTATGTATTTTGTTATTATAAAATATTTCTATTTTACTACCTACCAACATGTATCCGTTTTTTTCATATATTCTGTTTTAAAAAATCATAGAGTAATTAAAAGTTCCATAAAATTGACATTTTTACTTTCAGAACTACTTAACACCAACTTTAAACTTACATTTTCCAATGTTGATACTGAACTTCATATTCTAAACCTTTAATGCTGCGATGCAATGTCTTGTATAGAACACAATTGCAGACAATGACAACACAGGTTCACTTATGGGTTGGGTTGCAGGAATATCAAGGTCACATGCAAATTATTTTTAGAGATACTTTTTGATTTGCTATAAATCACCCTTCCTTAAAATAACTCACGGCTTGAACTGTTCCTGGAGATGGACCAAGTTTCCGACCTGCTGCTCACAGAAGAGTCCTGACCTGTGTCTGAGCTGTAGGTTGCCCACAAAGGGCGATGACTCGTCTTGCTGCCCCTCCTGCTGTATCGCTCGTCAGAGCTCACCGGCGTGCTGGCCCTCATCGGCCCATCCAGGTCAAACTCATACTCACACTTACCCTCAGACCCCTCATCCTTCAGATTTGGAACTAGTGTGGTGTGGACGTTGGTTTTATCCGTCATGCCAAGGTAATGCCGGTAGTCTGTGGGAACATACGCTCGTGCCCTTGGAGCCAGAGACTCGTTGTCCACTGGCGATCTTCTCGACATTCCACCTTCTTCTGTGTTCAGCCTCGGCTTCCTGCTCTGGGAATGGACAGGGCTGACGTCCATTTTAAGCTGTATTTGATCTTTTTTATCAACACTCAGAGCAAACATGCTAGTTGCGCGACGCATAGAATTTCCACGACTGCTTGAATTGCTGAAGCTGTCTTTTCTACTCTTAGGAAAACGAGGTTCTTTTCCTGAACTGTTAAGTGGTTTAGTGGATTTCTCCTCTCTGTTGGTTTTCCTCTCTGTGTCTTTTGAGTTCTGAGAGTAGATATTTTTGCTGTCATTCACTGCTTTTGTCCCCATCTGTTTATCATGAGGAGATTTGGGTCGGTTCTTAGGAGAAGATACTTTTTTGGCTCCAGGTTTTGTTTTTACAAATTCTGATGCACGGTTAATCTCAGAATCACCACACTTTAACTCTTGAGATGTCTTCTGAGGACTTATTGGCTCTTTTCTTTTTGGGCTTTTGGGTTTCTCAGAAGGAATTGATCCCTTTACATCTAACGTGGCCTCATCCCAGAACTCACGCAGAGTTTTAAACTGTGTTCTGCTCGTGCCTAGACTTGGGGACGACTTCTCCAACCTCTGATTCAAAGGCAGAACAGTAAAATTCGGACTATTTATTTTACAGTCTTCATCGTCACTGCTAAATTCATTTCCAATTGACCTCAGGTCAAATTCTGATTTTGTAAACCTTTTATTTAGTTTTGCCTGATTTGCACCACGAGCAACTTTGCCTTCGCCAAGAACTTTAGGTTTGAACATGGGCTTGTTCCTCTCCTGCTCCCAGAAAGATCTGAGCTGCTTTATCCTTATTGCAGTGATTTCTTGAGGTGGTAAACCTTGTCTGTTTGAGTGAGGACTGTTTAGTCTTTCTTTATTAGGCGTAGTCTGCATGCGTTTTGGAGACTCGCTTGATTGCATGGCGTCATTCTCACTGTCTTTACTCTTCACATCTTCAGGAACAGTCTTGGACAATTCGTCTTTCTTTTGGATCTCTTTTGGTTGAAAAATACCGTCAAGTTGTGGAATTGGTTTGACCAAGGAGTTGGCCTCAGACTCTGGACTGAGTATGAAATCAATAGATTTCCTGGGACTCAATCTGGTTACACTTAAAATCTCAGGGTCTGAGCCTCTCCTGTCAGCTACCTGGGGATTGGCTTCCAACTTTCTGTCAGTGGAGTTGTATGTAAGGTCATGATGGCTCATTTTCCTTAAAGTATCAATCTCCATACTGTCTCCTTCCTGGCTGTTGATTAGGTTGTCTTTGTCTCCAGGGCCTTCCTGTGGACTGATTATCAGTTCTTCTTTTCTTTCATCCACATGATTTGGTGCAAACTTGTGTATTCCAGGCACACAGGGAATATCAGACACTGTTTTGTTCATTTTCTCTCTGTTTTTCTCTTCTGGTTTTTGAGCCTTCTCTCCGGGCTTATTTGAGTTGCTGATAAGTATTTTTGGACCTGAGTTGTTTTTCTCCCAGAATGATTTTAGATGAGAGATTTGGGGTGATTGGCTTTCGCCGTTATTATCCTCATCTCTCGATTGCCGCATCTTTTCTCTGGTTTCCTCCTTTGGCACTTCCTTTGTTTTGGTCACTTCTTTGGTGCCTTTTCTATCTCTGACTCTTAACTCTTCATCCTTATGTGTCCTTCTTTGTACAGGACTGCTCTTTATTTCAACAGTGTCCTTCCTTTGATCACTTACAATTTCCCCATCATCTTTACCTCCGATTTTTCGGGCTTCCACATGTTTGTTTGAGCTCTTTTTCACCTCTGGACCATCGTCTGTATTCAGCCAATCATTGCTGTCTGTGCTACGGTTGAACCAGTCCAGCACCTTTGCAATGGAGTCCTCTTCATCACCAGTTGGACTGGTGGCCTGGGTGGATAATTTAAATGTGTCGTTGTGATTAGGTTTTGCCTGTGTTTTCAGACCAGACTTGTCAATAAAGATAAGGTCATATAATACTGGAGGATCTGCATCTGAAAAGAAAAATAATTGAAGAGATTTAAAAAACTTGTCAGAACATGATCAGAATTCTTCCCCTTTCTGTTTGCACCAGGTTTGCTTTATCTCTGATAAAGGCCCCCTGATTATGAACCAAGACCCACTTCTGTACTTATGCTAACAGCAATGTTAGGCTTCACTGTGAGTTAATTGTTTAAGTGCTTACGATTGCAATTTTTGCCTTCAACATGCTAACATTTGCTTGCAAACATGAAATAAAACTGAAGCTTTTGGAGATGCCATGTTTTGAAGGTGTCTGGCTTTAAAATAAGAAGTTATGATGGACCGATTTCAATAGATCGAGCCAGCAACAAGTAGCTCATTTTACAGCACTTCATCCAACAGCTAATGAGCTTTTTCCACTCAAAACCACAAAGGTTAACTAGAAGAAGAAAGAAGAAAAGCTAGAGGGGCACCTGAGGCACCATGATTTATCAACTGGGGATCTTAAATGTCTATGTGAAACATAGTTTTTCGAATAATTCTTGTTAAGTGAATAAATGACCCACTGGTGGCACTAGGACAAGTCAGAGGATGACCAAACTCAGTGCATGCCTTGAAAACCATGAATGTCAGCACACAATATCCTGATAATTCATCCAGTAGTTGTTGATATTTAAGTCCAAACCAAAGTGGTGGAACTACTGAAAGGCATTTTCTTCCTTCCATTCCTAGAATAATGCCACATGTGGCTTAAACACTTCTTCTTAGATACGAAATGCTGAACTCATATGTCATGCAAAAATACAGTTTTATACTTTTTCTAGCCTGGGATGAGATAAACGGTAACTTTCACATTTACTTCAATCACCCTTCAGCTTTGGAACTTAATCCGTTTGCTGATATATAAACAATAAACAACAATAAAGGCCCTTTAGGCAAATATTCAAGCTAAATAACAAGTCAACATTCACACCAGTAATTCTTCTGTAAATGTATATTAAAGAGGACTTCACAAGATCACCATATTAACTGAACACTAATTATTTGATTCATCAAAGCATTTCATTTCTGTTTCCCCCTCAAGGTGTCATTTGATTTTTTTTGGCCAGTTATTTTGATATGCCAACTGTTTTAACTCAGCAAGGCTCTTTTTTCGAGACATCTTTCTCTTTAGACACTTCTACTGGAATTTTATCAAATGACATTATGAGCAACAGATGGATGGAAGCATACCATCTGTCTCTTTTTCAGGGGTATCGATGAAAGCAAGAAACAACTAAAGCACCGTCGTTGTTGTTGCAGACCTCGGCTCTGGTACTTGTATTAAACTGCTCTCTTTGATTTCGCCTCTAAAAATCTGAGCAATTTAACAATGTATTTATTATTTACAAAGTTCGTCCAGTCCAAGCCTTTTTAACGACAATGTATCACCTGTAAATGAACTCACCTGCAGTGCTTTGGGGCAGGCTTAGCTCTCCCTCCCTCGTTGATGTTCCCACACTGCTGCAGTTTTCTTGGTCTGTATCTTGAATGTTGCCGACGTGTTTATTCACCGCATGCTCAACTTGTTTAGTGCTTTCCTGTGGGATATTTCTGTCAGAGGAAGCGTCACTCTTCACTAATGTGGCCTTATTAGAATCCAGCAAGTTTTGAATTTCAGCAGAAGGATATGAGAGTTTCTTTTCATTTTCTGGGTCTGAAGAGTTGTCCAAAGAAGCTTCTCTTTTTAAAGATGGTGTGTGTCTTTCTCTCTCCAGTCTGGAACTGGATGAAACCTGTGATATGTTGCTGAGTGGTTGCTGGGAGTTTCCATCGAGAGATTTGGATGGCTGAGTGGAATTAAATACTTGATCAGAATCCTCGCTTTTCGGAGGCATTTCCTCTATGCTTTTCTGATTTGACTGGTTGGAGCTTCCACTGAACCCAAGCTGGATGCTCCGTCTCCTCGGGGCAGGTACAATGCCCGGTGACCTGACCTGAGAGTCTGAAACAGGTCCGTTGTTTTCTGTCTTTGTCTGTCTTGAGAGAAACGTCCTCTTCTTTGGCACGGGCCTGAACCCGACAGACGAGCCCTCTGATGTGACCGAGCCTCCTGAGGCTTGACTGGACTCTGCTGCTGCGAGGCTTTTCAGTGGAGATATGGGCTCTGAGGGGAAAATGGAAACAAAACTCAGTCTAGATTATAGATATTTCTACAGATTTGATTTCAATTTTTTTTTCAAACCTGTCTCAGATGTCCCCGGATGTGGACTGCTTGCAGTGTCAATATTATTTTCAGCTGGCTCCACAACAAGGGAAGCACGGTTAAAAGGGTTGTGCCTGGGCTTCAATAGAAATTTACACAATTACTTTTTTTTAATTTAACTGTAACAAGCTTGCACTGAAAAAAACCAACATATCATTTGTAGCAATTACTCGTACCGTTCTCGGAGATCGAACTGCCGAATTCAGATTCTCTTTTTCTGCATCGCTGCAGGCAAAACAATGGCAACGTGTAGTTAGGATTAGGAATTCAAAAGTCTAACAGGCAGTTAAAAGTATCAGGTGAGGTCACAAGGTTTGTATTTTGTCTTGTTCATACTGAAGAGTGCATGACACAAGTTTACTGACTCGTTAACAGAGCTGACATCAAACAGAAATATATGAACTAACCAACCAGCATAGAGCCTGAGATGATTTGTATTATAGAAATGAAACTCAAATGTATTTTATTTATTGAATATAAAATGCATCTGATGCTATATGAAAACAATGGGACTACGCTGTAAAACACTGGCATTATCAGAGTGCAAACAGAGTTTAGGCAATCACATACTTGAGCTAACTGTATGTCAAAGAAGCACAGAAGCTTGGCAAAATCAAATATTGACCCAACCTGTCGCAGGAGGTTGTTAAATGTGTCTCAGCACAAAGTTACTGAAACATAGTTCTTGTATTGTGTGCTAAAAAAAATTAATAAGCTTATTAGTAAAATAAAATACATTAGAGACAAGAACTTGTGTTTATCCACCTCAAAGGGAGAGGAGAACTTGTGATTACCTGATTCTTTTGTTTGAGGTTCATTACAGAAACACAACCACAATACTTACTCTGCATTCACACAGTTATTATTACTGAGAGCTCTATTGAGTTACATGTTTTGCTCCACTGTCATGAATACATCAGGCCACGTCTGCAACGTTGTAAGTAACTAGCTGTTGCTGGGCTATAAAACTGCCATGTTCCTTGTGAGCACCACCTATATTTACACAGGCTGAGTCACAAGACAGCACATACACTGCACACACACTGATGCACACTGATGGAGAGGAAAAGAGATGAGCTGCGATTGTATTTCAAAACACTGAATCTAATATGAATGGGTGCTATGTGTATATTTCAAGGAGAGATGCAGATAGTATGTGTTGGAGTCACAGTTCAACACAACACGTTTTTGGCCACATCGAACAAAGTCAACACTGCAGCAGGCAAATAGAAAGTGTTGGGCAGAAGAATGGGCATGTCTCTGTATGAGTAAGTGTTGTTTACTTCTCCTGTGGCTGCAGGGTTTCTAAACATCTGGCAGGTTTTGGTGGAGCTACGATGTCGGATCCTTGACTGCTGGGTGTCTTGGATCGATCGCTTCTTGGAGAGTCTGCAGCAGACAGAGGGAAAAAACACCATGAAACCAAATACAAAGTTGAATACCTTCAAATTTTGGGCTATGGTCAAATTCTCTCTCTTTCTTTTGACCTCTGAACCCTGAATGTTACTCTGTAACTGGGTCACACATCAATTCTTCTGTTGAACCTTAGAGGTTGTATTTTGTATTGGAATCAGATTCAGCTATTGTGGCCTGGTACTGTACAGTATGTGTTCCCATAAATGGAGATTTACTGATTATATTATCAACCATCTATCATCAATAGGTTTTTGTGATTCAACAGTTGTCATCTTTCTGCCCTGAATGATAAATTGTTTAGGCTGAGAACGATCTATGTTCAAATCATATATCTTCCACAAGCTTTGCCGCTTCACCCAGATCTTCTTCCCTACCATAACACACCTAAAGTCCACTGTGCAAGCATCAGCAGTGGCAGTGGAATTAAACTCTGATTTCACCCCAGGGACACATGGTAGTCTTTTACAAGACAAGTAAATGTATGTTTCACCTACTGATGGATAAGTGGTAAAATTAAGGTTTGTGACAGGATCAGGAAGAAACCTCCAGAGAGTCCTGAGGTCACAAATGGAGCTGGATTCTTCCCTTGATCACAACACGTGTGCGTTAAAGCAAACCCTATGTCAACAGTACAGCTCGAACACACCTAAACCAGCTTTCCTGGGTTTCATGGAGGCCAGGATGATTTCCGAGCCGTGGATCTTGTCCATGTGTCTGCGAGACTTGGCCTCGTAAAACCATTCTCCAGTCAGGTACTTCTTCGAGTCAGACTGTGAGCCAGTGTTCAGTATTTTATCCAGTTTCCTGGAGAGGAAACACAGAGGAGACAAATACTAAAGTCATTGTCTTTTATAATGAAATATGTTAATCCTAGCTTAGACGAATGGAAGTTATTAAAAAACGAACAGGATACAGTGCCTCTTCAGCCCGGTGGCTACAGACACTCTCTTATGAACGAACAGATAGAAGACAACGCTTACTTTAAGCTGCACTGAATGGAGAATCTGACACCGTTTGACTTCGCTTTAAGCTGCACTAATCTCTTATTATGAGGGGGAATATAAAACCAAAGACAGACAAAGAAAAGACAGACATCAATGGAATGAAAAATTGTAAATATACTTAGTTTAAATGGTACGACCCTTGTTGTGTTGCTTTTATTCTTCTCTACAGAAACTCACTGTATTTATAATCTAATCCAATTCCTAATGCACCAACCTTTTCTTACTAAATCTCTTCTGCATTCCACCACTTCATCATGAGCCTTATATAACAGTTGCACATGATCTTTCTAAAGGAAGGAATTCAGGAAAACATTTCCATCAAGTTCAAAATTGAATCAAAGGCATTAAAATGAGCACTCATCTTTCCTCTTGACGGAGAGCCGCCGTGGTCATGTGAATGAAGGGTAGCACATTATTACAGGCTGTTGGCTTAATCCTTTTACACTCGACCGGTCGAGACACAGCGAGCATTCAAAGAAGAAAGTTAGCTGACCAATTCCATTAAACTCTTTGAAAAGCACATTGTTTCAAGACCATTCCTGACTCTTGAAAACAAAATAAAACACATCTTCAAAGAGTTGCAAGTGTTGTTTGGTCTTAATACAGAAAGACATTTCTCATTTTGTTTTAGGACATGGGAGAAGTCAGAGGCCTTTTGTTTGTCTTTACAAGCCTTGGACATACACTGAGAGGAATGTTTGACCCTCCCAAAGGTCCAATACCAAGCTGAAACATACAAGAGCTGTTACTTTTCACTCATGAGGCAGTATCAGGATCCAAATTAAAACACTGTGGTCATCACACTCTTCACAGGTGAGGTGTTGCCCATCATGGAGGCCTTTCTATTCCTGTCCCCCAGAGCAGCATGATCCTCTCCCATGCGTGTCTCTAATCTAATTCCCTGTCTCACATCGAGACTTCTCAGCGGCCGAGGCAGCGTCTGTATCCAGACAAGCTGTTATTGTGTTATTCCATTACAATCAAACGGGTATCATGTCCCACAAATGCCTCTTGTCACAGAGCAGGCGATGGACGCACTTATTGAATCAATAAAATCACATTAGCTGAAAAGCTCAACATTAGAGTGAATGTCAGCTGAAGCATTTCTGCTCATGTAAAAATCCCAAGGTTGTTTGAGGATGTTATAACTTGATTTCTACCTGACTCTCTCCTCCTCAGCCTTCTTCAGGTCGGCGTCCCTCCTCAATACCGTCATGATCACCCCCTGCTCCTCCTCCGTCAGGTGGCTCAGGTCAATCATGGTTGTCAAATAAATCCAGGAGCAACGAATTCACTCTGTCGCATCCTGAAAAGGTTAACTAACTTTGTTAGTTCCAAGGGAAAGTGGAGCCTTTAAAAAAAAATCATGAATGGAAATAAAAAAACAAAGAGAAGAATCACAGGACCAAAAGAGACCAAAACCAAAGCATGCCATTCATACAGAAACATTGAACTACAGTGACTGCCATACAACACCATTCTGATTAAAGATGATGAATGAGGTGTCTCTATTAAAGCCATTTTAATCAGAAACAACTGAAGTGCTTGAAAATAGTCGGGCAAAAAAATTGTGATGCAGAGTAAATCACTGCAGCTCCTGTAACAGTTCTGCAAAGGTGGTGAGTCCAATGACTCGAAAAACATACTTATGTAACTTTTGGAGGTACTTGTACTTTTCTAAGGTTAACTTTTTTTTTACAAGTAATGTAAATGGATGGTAAAGTGTGACAGTACATGAGCTTGTATAATGCTTTTCTAGTTACCGCAGGTCACCCATTCACACCCACTCACACACTGACGGCAGAGGCTGCAATGTATCAGAAGTAACTAATCCCATTCAGACACACTCGCTACTGTAGAAGCAGCGAGAGCAACTTGGGGTTAAGTGTCTTGCCCAAGGACACATCGGACATGTGGTTGCAGGAGCTGGGGATCGAACCCCTAACCTTGATCCTCAGCCGCTCGGTACAATATCTTGCAATACAATTAAAAATCGTTACAACTATGGACAATTTAAATCGATTTGACAAATCTATATATTGCAATACTCTAATTTTAACCAGCAGAGGGCGTTATCTGATTTTGGCTTATTTAGCTGAAGAAGTGAAGCATTGAGACATGGAGGAAGCAAGTGAAGATTTTGGGGTTTAGAATACGTCTCGTTTCAAAGCTGGACTGTAGTCACAAGGTGAGCAGATAACAGACAGGGAAAACAAAAATACAGTATGCAAAAACTGATACTGATAAATGACACGAATATCTCAACAAACATGATGCAGCATGTTGTAAAACGGTGCTATGTTGAGAAGCTCGCAAACAACCCTTTGAGGCCCAGATCAGTTACATAATGTAATAGCAAAAGCAAACTTTGAGAATGAAAACAGATTATTATGTACTTATTTTGCTCTCCCATTAATCATTCTACACCAATCAAATTTATCGTTTTCTAAGGGCCTTGACCCCTGGCTTGGAAAAGTATTGTAATGCTTCTTGTGTGTTTGCATGTTTACTTTGGGAACTGGTTGTCTACAAAACATATGCTAACTAAGAGTGACAACTCTACAAACAAGCTGTCTGAGCATGTATTTGTTCCTCTTGAAAACATTGTCTAGTCATGTGAGTCTTATTGCTGCCGCGGATTCTGAGATAAAGCGGATGAGATTCTGAAAATCTTTTATTGTCAACAACTTGTTTTTCTCTGTTTAACTAATCAAATCTAATTTATTTGATGACATGGTTGTGTTTTCAAGAGTTCAATTTGGCTCTTTATGGAGCCCACGTAGCTTGTTTTTTAACCACCAGAATTTAGAATAAGTTAATTTAAATTACCATTTGAATTGTTAAAAGTCTGAACTGATTTAAGAAGCCTTACGTAGTAGGCCTGTTTATGAATATCTCACTGTACCATTCAGAAGATGTATTCTGATATCCTTTTTTTAAGGGGCAGTCTTTCGTATTTAACCTCCTACTTCAGAAAGAGACATTATTATTAATAAACAATTATAGCCTAGGTAAACTAAGTGTCAGACTATAAACACTGTAAAGTGGTCCCTGCAAGACCTTACTACTACTTCTTTTATTTTGTTATTTTGAATTTAGGCAAACTTACCTACTCTTGCATTGATGTGCATTTTGGACTTTAAAGATTTTTTTTTATTTTTTACCTTTTCCTTTGTTGGAAGGTTGAATCATTAGAAATGTAGGCTATTAGCCTATAGACTATTTAATGTTGTCATATTTTCGTGGCATCACTTTCCAGTGAGTTATGTTTCTCTAAAAAGTCAGGAATCTGCTGTTCTGTTTACACCACTGTGACGAAGCATTGTTCACTGTTTTCCATAACTAAGTCAGTTTATAATAGGCTAGTTAAAGAGGTACAGGGACACTTAGAGTTTATCAAAACATATTGAATTTGAGATGACATTTCGAAAAACAAAATACATTTTGACGCCAATGGTTGATACATTTCTAATCTGCAATTAGTATGAACTGCAAGACAATTGTAATGAAGTTAAAAAGTAGCATATAGTGTCCATGTAGTGGACTAGTAGGCTATTTAAAAGTAGCAAATAAGTACAAAAATGCAAGAAACTGTACAGTAGCCCACTGATAAAAACATTTGTATTTGTATCTGTATTACGAGAAACCTTTTATACTTAACAGTTTGTCACTTTTTTCCCCTTACAGCTTTCTCAGTGGCCTATTAAGGATTTTCAGACTTTTAAGTATTTGACATGTTGCCTACCTCAAAGGGCCCCTGCAGGTTCGTCTCAAACCGCTATTGCATCGTCATACGTCGGTTAAAAAAAAAGTGACAAGAAAGAAAGTAAGACGGTAGAAACTTTCGACTCCTTCATAAAATCTGCTGCTCCTCCTGGATGAGCGGTACTCCTCTGACAGCAGTGAGAGGTGGAGGATGAAAAGGAGGAGGAGGGCGGATCAGTCTGCTGTGGATGAAAAGAAGCCTACCTGACATGTGCTGGAGCAGAGAGAGCACACAGCAAGCGGACAACTTAGTGGATAATGTTTCCTCAATTGATCAATGTTTAAATAATAATGACATTTCAGGCACAAGTCTCTCCTTTTTTTGTTCGAAATATAAGTTGCATTTTGTTTAAATAAACTGAGAAATTCTATTTAGGGTGTAATTGCAGACAGAGTCCAGCAGGTGTCCTCGATCCCCACAATATGAGATCATCCGTGTTTGACAAAAGGGTGTGAACATCTCCCAGAAGCAGGCAACTAGAGCCTGAAGCATCTCACACAGCATTAACATGTTCACAAAACACAATATAAATAACAGCATGAGGAGCTAATGAGTGTCCAGAAGACATCATTTCCCTGTTGTGAGGTGTGTGTGTGTTTCAGGACACCTCCACAGACCACCAGAACCAGAACTATGGTTTCTTGTTGATCAGACCAGAAAGGGAGAAAAATGAAAGCAGACCAGACTGTGTGAGAAGCATGAAAACCTATTCTGGTGACCTCATTATTGATCTCCGTGTGGAATACTTGCCTCCACATTCTTGTAATAAGAGGGGTTTATCTAATTGAAGAATAACCCCAAATTAAGCTTTCGGCTGATTTTAACTGCTGTGCCCGTGGTTTAAACTCTTAAGAACATTTTATCTTTGACAAATTAAAAGAAAGCAATCTGTGTTTGAGAACCCTGGAAAAAAAAGAAATTCACAAAAAATAGTATTAGGGTTTGATTTGAAGTGTGACCCATTAGTAAGACTACCCAAAGATAGCCTCCAAAAAACCCAGATTCATTTTTTTGGATGTTGATCGTTGAATAATATCAACCTTTTTTCTAGCAATATGTAAAACTAAAGGATGATAAAGGGTAAAACAGATGGACAACATATGATTTTTATTGGGGTCCTGCTTTATTACTTGACCTTAGGGTCTTTATCTTGAACTTGGTCACTAACTCAGATGTTAATTCGGCTTACCGTTTGCATACTCTGTATTGCCACAGTGAACCAGGAACTGTGTATCTTTTTACAGTATTTTACAGAATAGAGGTGTCCATTAAGTCTAAAACCAAATGTAAATTTCAAGTTTACTAATGCATTATATCTACCTCTTATTCTTAAAATGTAGTGGTTGTTGTAATGTACACTTCAACAAGAAATAAATGACCAATATGTTGTGGAAGCTGCTCTTTATTTGTAAAAGAAAGAAAAGACTTCAGTCATTGTCTGCTACACGTTCTAATTACATAAAGAAAATATCTGCGGAGACAAACGCAGAGAATATCCTGAATCAAACTTAGGTAGAGTCAAATTTGATTGAATTGCTTTCATATTTCATACATCTTTCACTTTTCACCTCCTAAAGAACAGTCAGTATTTTATATACACAGAGCACCGATCAACAGTGCTCCTTCACTCGCCCCCCTCCCCCCCACCCACCCCCCCGGTCCTCTGGATCTTTTATACAATTAATTTACATCTAATCTGAGACCCTTTTTTCCCCCTCACAGCCACAGCTAACCAGCAAGCAGACACACTATGTTCGCTCGACTCCGCCCCCTTGCCTGCCCCTCAAAACTCCAGCTGAGGAACTGTAGTGTGGAAAGATGTGTGCAACATGAAGACAACTCTTTCACATTCAGAGTAAAGGCAGCCTTGAATACGGTCAGTGAGTCAATGGCATGCCAAGCTTAAAGCAAATGGAGCCCACCACCCAGTGCCACGCTTCAGATTTTCGTGGATGACGTGTTTTTTTTTTTCTTTTCATTTTTCAACTAGACAGGAAACCGATCCATTGCAAAAACCCTAGGCACAGAATCGACTATATACTGTTAACTGACTCATACTCTAAGCCCTGCACTTTAAGTACAATGGAGATGGTGAAATCTTTCATCTAGTAAAAAATTTTCTTAACACAAAACTTGTAGAATATTTAGTGCTCTATCATTCCGCTTAATAGGTGTAATTTATATAATAGCTATTTTTTAACTCTACCTCTCGATGATAGTCTGAGATCCTTGTTTAATGCTGAAGCACTCCCACAGGTGTTCGATGTACTGTAGATTTTACATTATTATTTTCCCCCAATCTTAAACCAATAATCATAAATAAATACAAACAACACACAAGGAATGTCTACTGTAAACACGGTAAAAAAGACAAAAACTAAACAGGTGTAAACGCCATTAGCATCACTACTTGGTGACAGTTAAATAACTGTGGGGAACGGATGACGGATGATCGGATCAAGAAAGGGGAGGACCGCTCTCCACTTTCCCTCCAATCCCCTGCCCCGCTGAACATCAAGCTGTTTGCATCCAGCCACAGTTTGTCCAAATACTTAACATCAAAGTTTCTCCGCACCCAGAACTATCTTTACAGATCACGCTGTAAAATGGATGAGGAATCCTCTTTAAGGGGGTTAGACAGCAGCATCACTCGACGTCTTGGACAAGTTACAGAATAATGGGTGTGAGCTAGTGCCAAACGTCATTTGGACATGGTTACCATGGTTTCTGACAGTCGTTGCACCATTGTGTTCTTGACATGTCTGTATTTGGGGGAGGGGGGGGAAGGGGGGGGGGATAGTGTGTGAATGTTTCTCTGAAGAGTTAGACTGCAACGAGGACAAAGCTTTGCTGCTAAGTGCTTCATCTTCCGAGAGACGCTTTTCTTCGAATTACATGAACTGCATCTGCAAGAGAGGCAACAGACGACATTAGTTAAAAGCTTAACGTATTAAGAGAATAATACAAAAGAGTGAGTGTTCAATAAAACCTCCCTAACAGAGATATTCTATTTTACCCAGATGACTATGTTTAGTTATAGACAGGCTAGCACATCTTCTACATGTCTCAGGCAAGAAGTGCATTCTAGTCCATTGCTAGCTTTAACCTCAGTCAAATATAATAAATGATATATTTTCTTATGATCATCAAGTGCAAATGTTTTACCTTGATTTGGTCTGAACTAAGTCAGAAAAAGTCATTACATTTTCCGCTGGTGACATCATTGTTGACCAACTCATGGAGGTAGCATTAGGTTAATTAGCTTGACAGCAAAAGTTTAAAACATCTGCCAGCACCTGTTTCAACTAAATCAGTCAGTGGTTGAAAATTAGAAGATTACTTCTATCTACTTCTGTGCCCCTGAAGTTTACAAAACCATTTGAATATCAATGAAACTGATGTTGTTATAATTCTAAAATACCGTGCTGTGACTAGAAACTGCAAGACTTTGGGGGGGGGGAGTTTGGTGAACAGTCAAATCACATTTGCAACTATTACAAGGTGCAAAAAAAACCCAAGACTGACAATACGTGATGATAATGAAAGAACAAAGGGTCACAATGTCTCTGGCTTTGTTAATGATGCAGCTAAATTGTTATATCAAGCAAGAATTCCAAGCACTTCATGGTCATGATACAACAAAATGATTGAGAGAAATAGATGTAACATCTAAGCAGATGAGGACGACATCATGCAAACGTTAAAAAAAAGGAAAAGAAAAGGGTATTATAAGCACTGGGCATGCAGAACATGCAGGTGCACCCTCAGGCAGAGAGCATGCTGTACCTAAAGAGATGCTCTACAAGAAATCCTTGAGAGAGAGGTGTGCAAACGGGTCCTGTCCAGGGGCTCGGAGAGGACTCTGGCTGGAAGGACTAGAGGCTGCGGAGGGCTATTTAGGGAAGAAATACACGAAGTAGGAGGACCAGAGGAGAAGTCAGAGAGTCAGTACTGAGACTGAGGAGGGATGAGATTAGTCTGGAGAAACTGTGATGAATGACAGAAGGGTTAATAAAGAGGAGTTGTTTGGGGAGGAACAGGGATTAAAAACAAGGAAGATGATTCACAGTTTTGACCCTCCAGCTCAAAAGAGTGAAGGATTCTCGGTTAAAACTGTCATCATCTTCTTGAGAATCCACAATGACAGTAAAGCTAACAAACTGACTAACTGGTCCACGTCACAATGGAAACACCTATTTACTCAACCCGATAACTGTGCAAACAGATACTGACTTCATTGTGCAGCAGCGTGGTGGAGCAGTCAGACTGCGGTGCACCCACCTGAGCGCTCGACACAGAGCCGAAAGGGTTGGGTGGCCTCATCACAGGCTGCGAGTACATCATGGTGGGCGGATTCATCATCCCCATAGAGCCCATTTGTGGAGGCTGCAGCAGGTTGCAGAGAGAAGAAAGTAGTCAGTAATGGTGTATTTCAGCTGTTTTGTTGACTCAATTGAGGATGATTTTCATCAACAGTTTATCTGCTGATTCTTTTTTTTTTATATAGTGGTCTGTAATATATTTAAAAAAGCCAGAATTTGTCACAACCAAAGGGAAAATATTTTAATAAATATTTAATGTATAATAATGGCTAAAAAAAACATTTGAGTTGCTGGAAGATGTAAATTTTTTACATTTTGTTGAAACATTTTTTTTATCTTTCAACAAATTATTTCAGGCTCATCTGTGAATTCTTTTAAATGTGTACATCTCTGATTTTTTTCAAATATCAGTCTTTAAGGATAATCATTTCTGCATCCTGATTGTACACGTTACAATTAATTAATATTAAGATAAATAAGGAATGTATCCCTTTTTTTAAATAATTTGTTCATCAAAAACAATACCACCACTCACCAATTCATGAGCAAAATTACATTTCTCCTATTGAGAAGTCTTCATCCTTCATTTTTTTTTAATTCTAATGAAAGCAAAACAATGTCTCACTTGATCCACTTGAAGTGCATTTAATCAATTCTCAAAAAACAAAGAAATAAAGAAACTTCACAAGTCTGAATGTAATATCTGATTCTTTTTTCAGCTTCAAAAAAGGACTGTACCAAAGCTACACAGACTGTTATAAAATCCACTTGTACTGCACAGTATAATTAACAAAATACTGACCAT